ACATTCATTTCTCGACACTGAGTTGTATTTCTACGATATTGCTTCCTATCGAGGGGAAAAGGGGGAAATGTAAAAGGGAAGTTAAAGATAAGGATTATTTATAAATTAGGCTGCTTCTAGATTTACATAGTTTAATGTTGAATAACATTATTAGGTCTCACTTTGTTGGCGACCCGATAGAAAGTTTATTTGTGTGTCGAATTTCGCGCAAAGCTGCACGAGGGCTTTCTACTCTAGCTGTCAGTAATTTAGCAGCGAAAGACTACAGGGAAGGTAGCTAGTCAACACCACTCTCCGACAACTCTTGTTCTACTCTTTAACGACGAATCGTGGGATTGAACGTCCCATAATAACGTCCCCTAGGTTGCGAGTCGAGTCGCCCTAATCACCAGGTCATGTGTTGAAATGGAGTGTGACGAGAAACTTTAAGGTTTTTCTAGATCTAATAAAAATATGTGCATTTGTTTTTAATTTATTTTGAAAAAAGTACGAAGTGAAACCGTTGTTTATAAACAGTTTTACCACGTCGGTTCCTGAAAAAAAAGAATGAAACTGTTGTTTATAAACAGTTTTACCAAATCGGCTCCTGAAAAAAAATGAATGAAACTGTTGTTTATAAACAGTTTTACCACGTCGGTTCCTGAAAAAAAAGAATGAAACTGTTGTTTATAAACAGTTTTACCAAATCGGCTCCTGAAAAAAAATGAATGAAACTGTTGTTTATAAACAGTTTTACCACGTCGGTTCTTGAAACAAAATGAATGAAACTGTTGTTTATAAACAGTTTTACCAAATCGGCTCCTGAAACAAAATGCATGAAACTGTTGTTTATAAACAGTTTTACTACGTCATTTCTTGAAACAGAATGAATGAAGAATTGATAAGGAGGATAATTTACGTGAAACAGTAAAGTATCATTTTATTTAGAGAATTTTTTGAATCTCTAAACATACATATACGTGTATGTGTGTGTTTATATGTATGCAGTAAAACAGGCTTATACTATATATATTTATATTAAAGTAGGCTTATGCTGTGTCTATACCTACTTAAATAGCTATATGTTATGTGTGTGCACATATTAAAATATAGTAGTGTGGTATGTACGTAAGTATTAAAAACTTATGCGTTTATGTAATAAAATAGGCTTATGCTACGTATGTAAGTATTAAAAACTTATGTCGTTTATGTATTGAAATTGCTTTATGCTATTGTTACGTCTCCGTTTGTTAATTAATTTTTCCGTAAATTCTTTCCAACTAAACTTTAGCGACACAAGTCCTTTCTTAATAAAACTGGTTTATTCTTTCTGAATATAACTTTACCGATACACTTATTTTCAACAGTCGAGCTATAACAACGAACGTGCTCAACTTCAACA